TTAAAATTTATTGAGTTGGTGCGTACCAGGAACGGGGCGTTACAGAAAAACCCCAATCATATGGGTTTAATTGGCATAAACCCTAATTGTCAAGTTCAACCAATTGCATCAAATTGAATAGAAAACAATCTTAGACTCTAATACCACTGATCGCTACTAGAAAAACAGCCTTTTACGACGCGCAATGCGTGTCATAAAAAGCTCAGATGACGCGCAAATGCATGTCTATTTACGACGCGCATTTACGACACTCATTTACAATACACAATGTGTATCAAGGAAAGCCCTATCATAAAAGAAGACGACACACATTTGCGTGTCGTAACCTTACAACGCGCATTTACGACTTGCATTGCGTATCATTAAAGCCCTTGTCAAGAAATGACATGTCATAAATGAAGATAACATACATTTTTGCGTATCGTAATTTTAAATGTTAAAAAAATATATTATTTATAGATTTACTAATTTTTAAATTAAATTTGCATTTAATATCTCATAACAGAAAATAAAATATCATATACAAAAAACACAATCCATTGCATAAAATTTAATGTCATACAAATAATCGTTTCATGGAAAAATAAAACAAATCAATAGAAGTTGTAACAAAAATTTACAGATTAATAGTTCTAATAACCTAATGTGTGCCTCACTATAAACAAGATTTATGTTGATTTTTTTAAATATGTGCCTCACTTGTCTCCACTCTTCCTTAGTAACACCACTCAAGGATTCTAAATCTATGAACTTGCTCACAGTATCTATATTGCCTGCAAAAAAAAAACATAACTACAAAATATGTGTGAAAATAGATTATTACAGTGTAAAAGAAGTAAAGAAGCTTAAGCTTCCTCCGGTGGGACACATGGATAGTCAGACTTGATATACTTTGCAACATGTATATCTCCCAATGCAAGATCAACTTTATTTCTCCAAGTGGAAGGCCATATGAACCTCTTTTGTTTTTAAACTGAATTCATTGCAAGTAGGGATGACATTGGGTATGGGTATACTGGGTTTCGTGTTCCCCATCCCCATACCCGACCCCATCCCCATCGGGGATTAGAAATCTATCCCCATCCCCAATGGCTAATCGGGGATTTTTTCCCTGTTACAAAGTTTTGAACTTTTATAAAAAATAACTCATAATTATATATAAACCAACAAAACAAAAACTAACAGAACTAATATAAAACACTATAATCACTGAATGTCTTCAAATACAAACAATAACATTCAATGTTACAAATTAAATCATTATTTGCAAAAAAAGACATAAAAATTCTTCCCAAAACTATACGTTTGATTGTTAAAAAACATTATTTGTCTACTGAACATTTGCTTAAGCATTATTAAAAATAAAAACATAATTAATACTATATATATATATATATATATATATATATATATATATATATATATATATATATATATATATATATATATATATATATATATATATATCGGGTACCTATCGGGGCTGGTTTCGGGTACAGGTATGGGTACCCGACAGGTAGAACCATCCTCATCACCATCCCCGCTTTTTATATATGGCCCCATCCCCATCCCCGGTTAACTTGGGGATTTACCCGGTCAACTCGGGTTAGGGTTTCGGGTACCCATTGGGTACAGGTTTTTTTTGTCATCTCTAATTGCAAGAAACATCAAGAACTTGCTTGTATTAATTTCTCAAAAGAATCACTAAATGAAGTAGGAGTATGAACTGCTATTGTTTTTATTCCACTTCGAGCAGCTTCTTTTGTAAGTATAAGCACCACAGGTTGCTTTAGAACATCCCAACAAAACATTTGGATTTGACAAAAACTAAAATGACCAGATCAAACCAAACATAGTATTGCACATAAAAAACTTATTAGGGAATTGTACTTTGAAAAACATTGGTTTGTGTACGGATGAAATTGATATAATTGAGACTTGAGTAGATCTCACAATGCGTGAAATGTTGTAATAAAAAGTGATCAAATTATTTCATTTATAAATTATAAACAAGGCAAAAGACGGGATGGAACTGACCTTCAATTGGGCATCTGCAGAATGCGTGTCAAGCATTGGATTATTGACCATGGAATGACCCCAATGAGTTTGAAATAACTTGAAGATACACTGTCAAACTTTGATTGCTATTCAATCCTTACTGCATCCAAACCATAATGAAACGAGTAAAAAAACATCAAAAGTTTTTAGATGTAAGATTCCAATTACATTTTTAAAATAAATAAAAAAAGATTGTTACATGGAATAAGTTATTACTACTATATTGGTATATTACTAATATATTGCATGTAAAGTTTAAAAAAATTTCATAATATACACACCTCCACAGATGATACAATTCCACTTGATGATGAGATAGCTACAAAAAACAAAGGAATGGAAACTCTTAAAAGAACATAAAAGAATCTAGTTATGAATAAAATTCAAAATTAAGCAATTTAAAAACCTGAGCCTCCTGCGGTTGAAGGACCACCTTCAGAAATACCAATCATTTCTGAGAGCTTCTTTCGCATGACATCATCAAGTTTCTCCAATGACTTCTCCAAAGGCCTCATGCCAACCATCTAAATAGAGGAAACAGATAAGTGATATTTTATTATTATTCGCACCAACAATAAAAATAAGGATTAAAAGAATGGTTGGTATCTACCCTAATAAATAAAAAAGATTTTGCCACATGTCATCTTCTACTTCATTTTGACACTTATCATTTTTTAGATTTTTTGAATTATCTAATATCCACTTGTCATTTTTATAGTTTTTTCTTTTTTTATTCAAATCTCACCTATTAAATGTCACCTCATATTAATTAATTTTATAAATATATTAATTAATGTACATAATAACTTTCTATTTTTGAATTCTTCTTTCTATTAATATATTAAGTGTATATTAATGTAGATAGTATATTCCATTTGTGAATTCATATTAATTAATTTTATTAGTATATATTAATTTAGACCAAATTACATAAATAGTCCATGCAGTTTACCAAAATGTCACAAACTCAATTGTTATTTATTTTTTATGAACATGGTCTTTGTGGTTACCAAAACTATCTGCACAATGAGTCAATGACAAACATATAAATTACTTTTTAGTTTTTTTTTTCAAGTGTGTTTGAAAAATAAGATATAAACTTACACAATCTATGATTCTTTGATCCCAAGCATCAGACCAGACTGCAGCAGAATCCATGAGTGTCATCATCATCAACCACAGGAACCTCTGAATATTTACTTACATCTCTCCATAAACCTAAAACAACTCCATCAACTTCACCACACTCAATCGTAAGGTTGTTAGATAGTATATGCAACACAGGTAGCTTGATATCTTCTGGTGAATTGATAATTAAGTCCTTATGTTAGGAAAGAAATGTTGTGTGGAAACTACTGCAAGAGTACACCCTCTATCACAAAACAATAAGTTGCAGGATCAGAATCAATAACAGCTGTTAATAATAGGAGTGCAAAAACGCATATACCTCAACAAATGATAACCCTTCCAATATCTTTGACTCGTATGGTCCAAAATACCCCTGAGTTCTCATCACTTAAGTTATTTGGTTTTGAAGAGATCTCCTAACAGTGCCAAAAACCAGCTGCCTTAGGCAACTTTCCACGTCCTCTCCTTAGGATTTTCAAATGGAATAGCTCTTGTTTCTACTTGAGAAACAGATCTCTCCAACTCTGAATATAATCTAGAGTCAACTGACATCAAACCATTGGTTGTTTCCTGCTTATTTGTTGTTTCCATTGAAGAAACATGTGTGGAATCATCCTGTGATAATTTTGCATCCATAAATTCCAATGGCTTCAAACTGTCCCCCTGTGACATAACACATCACATAAGCAACTTAATCACTCGTACAAATATATATATATATAAAAGCCAGCTATTGCGAATTTTCATGAATTGAATCTTAATAAAACTAACCATTCGTGTAACAGATTTTTTAAATTTGGTAGCAAGACGACGTTGCATGTTTCATATGATTTCCAGCAATCGGGCCATTTCATTGAGTTTTTTTGAATTTTCAGTTTCACTATGTTCTTTATCTGCTAAAAGCAAAGGAAGAGAATCTTCCATGGCTGTAATACTTCCATTTTGTATATGCTGCAATGATCCATATCTACGTATCATTTTTGTAGAGAAATGGGTGCCCAATGACAGAAGCCTGAATTATATATATAAACTTAAATGGTATAAGAAAATACACAATGCAAAAATATATGATCAAGATGCATAAAAAGAATCATACCTTGATGCAGATGATACATCATTATCATTTCCACCTTTATTCAATGATAAATAAATAGCAGCAAAGACCAATCTCAGGACACCTTTTTCTGCCAAACTCACACCAGATTCAAATGTAACATAACCATAAATTTAGAATAATTAAAAGAAATAAATCTTGTCCATCTGTGTTTTTAGAACCATAGATAATATTTATATATGGTTTTACTTTTACTATGATGCAACTCTCATTACTTGAGGATGTAGGTGCGTACCAAAACACTGAAAATTCATCATGTGATAATATTTATATATGTTTTAAACTACACTATAGAGAATACCATTTTTCAAGATTTAGACAAAATATATTTCAAACAAGAAGCATCAACTTTGACGCTATTGCTAGCATTTGAAGCCCAAAAATTGAAAATTTGAGTATGAAATGGATTGGAGACTACTACTCTAGAGAATATAGATTAGAGATTCAAATGCAACTTAGGTACTAGTTGCTTCTTTTAAATCATATTCTCCTAAAACCTAACCTCATTCACTTACTATTTCATATTTATAATACCTTGTATATTTTTTAAAAAAAAAAAAATTAAAGACACTGACTCAGGAGATTGCTATCAATTAACAAGGGGGGACACCAGCTTTACCAATACCAGAGGAAGAGGAACTATTACTGTAACTCCATAATCAACAAAAGGGTTGTTTGGGGACCAAAAGATTTCACAATTCTAACCTGCATTTTAAAAAAATAAAAAAGAGTTAAATTAAAGGCACAAGAAAAAAAAAATAGTTAAACTCAAGTGAATAAGGGTCTCACTGAGAACAATTGCCTTATGTGTCCCTGAGAACCTGTACAAGAACAAAACTTCATAGTATTAAACAAAACTACCAATAAAAAAATATATAATATGTTAATAAAGCAAGTAAATTACCTACGTGCCCTTGCTATCTTTTTCTGTTCTTCAAGAGGATCGGCACTTGAAGCTGAACCAAATCAATTTCTAGGTGGCAAGTTTATCAAGTTTGGTCATATAAGCGGTCTCAACTTCCCCTTCTTCAAGGGAACTAATTGCAATCGACATGACTTTAAATACACCAGCAATATTCCCAAACCTCTGCAAATAACAGGAAAAAGAAGTTCAAATAGTCTTTCTTTTTTATGATTACGTGTGTAATTTATGTTACAGTGAGTGATACACGATGCTTGCTGTGAAATTAGAGTCACCTTTACCAATCAACCTCTTCGTCGTCTGAGGAACTGGTGAGTTTTTGCCAATCAACCACTACGATGAAGCTAAAAACCTTAATCGGAAAAAATTACTGCAAAATAGTAAAACCTTCGGAATTGTTGATTGGAGGTCAAAGAGATTTAATTACCTGGTTGAAACTTGGGATAAGGATGTCAGAGATGCCTTCTGGGTTGGAGCGTGCAGCTTGAAGATACATCAATAGATTCAAATTTGACGCATACACCTTACCAACATATTAGAACGGTGGATAGAGAAGGAAGCAGTGGATTGGCGTTTGTCAAACAACAATCCAGAAGGAAGTGTGGACTACTTTGATGTATATGGTGTTGTTCCGTGATATATTGATAGGTGAAGGGGATACGAGAGAGTTGAGTAGAGGTGGACCTGAGGTTGTCGGACCTGAGGTTGCCGAAAATGCCAAGCGAAGCAAGGTGATATCGTAGATTGTTGCAGAGGCTAGAGAGAATCGAGAGAATTTGAGAAGCATCATAAGTCGTAACAACGATAGGTGCATTCTTCATGTTTCTTCTCTTTTCGTCATTGTCACGGGAGACTAGGGCTTAAAATTTCTTGATCTTCAGAGTGACATTAGAGCAGAGATCCGATGAGACGATTAACAAGTAAGGTCAGGAGTAGTGGAGAAGCGGATCGGACAGGAGGGAGAGGGGAGAATCTATTACGAAGATGAAAGATAGAAAGAAGGTAGAAAACAACAAAGCTGGTTTTCAAAATTTTAGCGATTTCATTTTCCCTCGTATCTATTAAACGCCCATTCATTAAAATTATAAAGTTAAATTTATAGAGGACGCGCATTTAAGATACAACGTCTTCTGTGTTTTTTATTTTTTTTTCTTATGACACTAATTTAAGGGAACGCAATAATCCGTGACTTAAATCGTAAACTTTTTTGAAGAGATGACACTTTTTTAATGTCACTCTCTTTTGCGTAATATAAATCAATGAGTGTCGTAGTTTGCAAGTCTCTATGTGTCCATGCAACCCTAAATTATAGGTTCTATGTTTTCACTATTGGACATGCAAGTATTGAACATAAAACATGAAACCCTAGGAGGCATCTATGATTTTTGAAATTAACAAAACTAGGGTCAGGATACATAGCTTAATTGTTATATTGTAATAACAATGAAATCCTTGAAGATCTTGGACTTGAGAGCACGTGTTAAAAGTGTAACACCTCCAAAGGCTCACAAACACACTTAGCAAGAGGATAAGAGGAGAGAGGAGGAGGAAGCTTCAAAATTTCGGCTCTTCTTAGGGTTAGAGGGCATGGCCGAAATTTGAAGGGTTGTAGCTGTTGGGTTTTAGCCATAAGAACTTTCCTATGTGCGCATGCAAAACCCTATTGCTTGGATCTAGGCTTTCTAATAAACATGCTTTTGAATCCAAGACTTCTAATGGCTAATTAGGTTAAACAACAATATTAAAACAGATCTAGAATCATACCTTTGAACCCCTTGTTGATCTTGTTTATCTTGGAGCTTCTAGAGTCACAATTGTCACTCCTCTAATGGCTTACAAACACCAATAGCAAGCAAGATGATTTAGGAGAGAGGAGAGGGGAGGAATTCGACCAGAGGTTCCTTACTTTAGGTTGTGTGTCGAATTCCCCCATCCATGGGGGCTATTTATACTATTAGACTCCTTAAGGGTTTCACCCTAAACCCTAATTGGATAATCTTCTCTTAAGGCTATCCAAATCCATTCCATAGATAACCTTATGGACGATTTTGAGCTATCCTAAAGCTCTTAGAATCCGTCCAAGGTGTATCCTAATGGATTTATAGTCTAAAGTCTAACTATCAAACAATTGACAGTTTATACCCTCTTATTTAATTAATCTCTTTAAGTCACCAAATTAATACCAATTAATTTATGACTTATATTAATCAAATAGCTAAATATTATTCCTTATAATATTTACTCTCTCTTAATAAATCATCCTTCAAGTTGCTATGGTGAAGGCAACCCAAAAGGACCATGCACCACCGAATATAGTTATAGCCTTAGACACTATTCCAACAGTCTCCCACTTGGATAAGTCTAGTAACTATACAAGTACAATACGGTTTGCAATCGTAGCTCTCAAAGACGCTGTCAACTCTGATCTAATCAATCTTGTCCTTTAGATAAGGGATCGTACAGTCCTCTGTTAGATATCATGCTGACAATCCTATGGAATGGTTAGTCTAGCATTTAGATTTCTCGATCTCGATTTATTTGACATAGAACTTAATCGAACACATCAATTCAGTTCTGACCGGGCCCGGCACATAAGTCAAATCAAATCATCGAGTGGCCAAGATATCTCTTCTATCCTCTTAGGATAAAATTTACAGATAAACTTCGACTTATATGCATTTACTTATTCATTAACCAACTATACACAACAATGCGTTTTATAACATCAAGTTACTGATGCGTTTTCGCATTATCAATGCACAATCAATTAACAAATAATAAACCATATATCTAGGTTTTAAGACCATATGATATTATCGTCTTGCGATCACCTTTTATATCGTATTCCATAAGGTGATTCCAGCAAGCGCGGGTTTATTCCAATGCTCAAAACCAGTTCATAAGCACTCATGAACGTTGCAGCAACCCTTGCTATGTCTAACACCATTTAGACATTCTACACACCAATTCATGACAATCTTCATTCATATCTACTCCCAACATATGAACGATTGTGGACCATTTGAATAATTCGATTATTCCTAATAAACTCAATTATTCTGGAAGTCAAAACATGCAAAGTGAAACAATAGTTAAACAACTAACATGTGACAGTAACTTTACTCATAAATAAAACTCCTTTATTTAATCATCAAATGTTAATTACATTTATCTATTATACGTTTCTAATACTATCTAATCTATACTAATATCATCCTTCAGCCCAATACTCCTAGCATGCTGCAAGTGCTTAACCCTACTCAGTCCCTTCGTAAGCGGATCTGCTGGGTTATCTTCTGATGATATCCTCTTCACTACGAGTTGTCCTTCTTCTACACGATGTCTAATGAAGTGATATTTTCTGTCGATATGTCGAGATCTACCATGATCCCTCGGTTCCTTGGTCAAGGCAACCGCACCTTCGTTATCACAGAAAATCTCCATGGGCTCCTTTATGGCCGGCACAACTCCAAGATCACCGATGAAGTTCTTCAGCCATATTGCCTCCTTCGACGCTTCGCTCGCTGCGATGTACTCTGATTCGCACGTTGAATCAGCTACGGTTTCCTGCTTGGAACTTTTCCATGTCACTGCTCCTCCATTTAGGGTAAAGACCCAGCCCGACTGCGAACGGTAGTTGTCCCTGTCGGTCTGAAAGCTGGCGTCACTATACCCTCGCACCTTCAAGTCATCACTCCCTCCAAGGACTAAGAACCATTCTTTCGTCCTCCGAAGGTACTTAAGGATGTTCTTCACCGCAATCCAATGTGCTTTGCCAGGGTTCCCTTGATATCTGCTAACCATGCTCAAAGCGAAGGCTACATCAGGGCGAGTACAAGTCATAGCGTACATGATTGAGCCAACTGCGGAAGCGTATGGTACTCGGCTCATTTCTGCTATCTCAGCTTCGGTACTCGGACTTTGAGTCTTACTCAACTTGGCATTTCCTTGTATCGGTAGTTCTCCCTTCTTTGAGTTTTCCATACTAAAACGTTTTAGTACCTTCTCCAAGTAAGTATTCTGACTAAGTCCAATTAGTCTCTTACTTCTTTCTCTTACTATCCTTATTCCCAAAATGTAAGAAGCCTCTCCGAGGTCCTTCATAGCGAAGCACTTCCCGAGCCAGGACTTAACCTCCTGCAGAGTCGGGATGTCGTTTCCTATGAGTAATATGTCATCGACATATAGAACGAGGAAGCTTACTATACTCCCACTGGCTTTGACATATACACAAGATTCGTCTTCGCTTCGTACAAATCCAAACTCTTTGACTTTCTCATCGAAGCAAAGATTCCATCTGCGAGACGCTTGCTTAAGTCCATAAATGGACTTCTCAAGCTTACACACTCTATTCGGATGCTTCGGATCCACAAACCCCTCTGGCTGAGCCATGTAAACATCCTCAGCCAACTTTCCGTTAAGGAAAGCGGTCTTGACATCCATTTGCCAAATCTCATAATCATGAAATGCGGCAATTGCTAGCATCACTCTAATAGATTTAATCTTCGCAACTGGTGAGAAGGTCTCATCATAGTCAACTCCGGGAGTTTGAGTAAAGCCCTTCGCAACCAATCGCGCTTTATATGTGTGTACGTTCCCATCCACGTCGGTCTTCTTCTTGAAGATCCACTTGCACCCTACGGTCTTACGTTCGGGCACGTAATCAACCAAATTCCAAACTTGGTTATCGTACATGGATTGGATCTCGCTATCCATCGCCTCTTTCCATTTCGCAGACTCCGGGCCTGCCATGGCTTCCTTATAGCTATTAGGTTCATCAAGATTTACTAGTGTACCATCACTAATATACGTGTCCCCTTCGGTAGTAATATGAAAACCATAAAACTGGGGATGAACTCTAACTCTATCGGAACGTCTAAGAGGTAAGGATTCGTCAATCGGTTCAACCGGAGTTTCCTCCTCGGGTTGAATGCCAGCGGTAGAGGTTCCTTCATCTATCGATTCTTGAATCTCTTCAAGTTCGATTTGCCTCCCACTGTCTCCTTGGCTTATGAGTTCTCGCTCTCGGAAAACTCCTCTCCTCGCAACAAAGATAACATTATCTTTCGGTCTATAGAAGAGATATCCAAAGGAAGTTTGCGGGTAGCCGATGAAAATACATCGCTCACTTCGAGGTTCAAGCTTGTCGTGAGTATCTCGTCTTACGAAAGCCTCGCAACCCCAAACCTTGATATGTGCCAACGAGGGAGCTTTCCCCGTCCACATCTCGTGAGGTGTTTTGGCAACCTTCTTAGTAGGGACTCGGTTAAGGATATGGGCGGCAGTCTCTAAGGCATACCCCCAAAAGAAGATAGGTAGTGAAGCACGACTCATCATAGAGCGAACCATATCCAATAAGGTTCGATTACGCCTTTCTGCCACACCATTCAACTGCGGTGTCCTAGGAGGCGTCAATTGCGAAACTATTCCACACTCCTTGAGATAATCGTGGAATTCAAGACTTAGGTACTCTCCTCCTCGATCGGATCGAAGCATCTTGATTTTCCTGCCCAATTGATTCTCCACTTCATTCTTGAACTCTTTGAACTTTTCAAAGGTTTCTGACTTTTGCTTGATTAAATAGATATACCCATATCTACTATAATCATCGGTAAAAGTCACATAGAAGCGGTTCCCATCCTTCGTGGTTGATCTAAAAGGTCCACATACATCGGTATGTATTAGGTCTAATAGTCCCTCACCCCTTTCACAAGTACTCGTGAAGGGTGACTTAGTCATCTTTCCAAGTAAACAAGACTCGCATGTGTCATCTTCCCTAAGGTCGAATGACTCCAACACTCCATCCTTTTGGAG